AAAGCAACTGATTAGCAATCTGGCCACGTAAAGAATTCATAAACTCAATCCCTTGTGAATCCCACTCTATGTCTTGAACTATAAGGCCATCGTTTTCTCCAGTTTGCATTTCATGAAACATCATGTTCTCATCATACTCCATAAATAACTGATCATAAATATTGCATTTCCTTATAAAATTGTGGATGGCGAAACAAGCAATCACGATGTCTCTTTGTATTGGAAAAGAAAAGGGAGCCATTTGCTTCAAGATTGGGAATCTTGCCTTTAGAACACCATATGCACGTTCAATGACATTTCTAAGTTGTGCGTGAGCATGATTGAATCTTTCTTCCTTAGTTAAAGCATGTTGTCGTCGAAAATCGGCTAACCAATACCTCGTACCACGGTAGGGAGTCATAAATCCACGAGTGTTGGTGTACGCAGCGTCACAAAGGTAATACTTATCTGTATCAATATCAAAACTATCATATAAAAAACAAATAATGTATGAGATGAACATTGAAGAATGGTTAAAAACCTGGTGGCGGGAAAGGAAAACCAGAATTTGGGTTGAATGCAACTTCTCTTAAAACTCGTGAATCATGTGCAATGCCCTCCCATCCAGCCCATACGAATGTGAATATCATATCAAAGTCACAAATTGCTAAAACATTTTGAAAGCATTCACCTTTTCCTCTTCCCCTATAACGAGTCTGTTGATCAACAGGCACAATCGCATGTATAAGAGTTCCATCTAAGGCACCTATTGCTCCAGGAAATATTTCTTTTAGCCTTCTTTGTCGATCGGAGTCATTTGCACTGACATTAGAAGATGTTGGGACTATAACTTCTCTTGCAAAATTCATCATTGCCTGTAGGACCTCATGAAAACATCTATGAATTGTTTCTGTTGAGTGTTGAAACCTTCGTTTAACCACTCGAAAACGTTGATTATGTCCAATGACCATACAAAACATAGCCAACTTTTCTTCCAAGCTTATTGACCTACTACTTTGCAACCAATTTTTTTGTTTAAAATGATTGCACAATAGTATAAATGCATCACGTGATAGACGCATCATCTCATGACATTGTGTAGAAGTACCATGCAATAATTCTTGCGTGTATTCATGACCGGTTAATGCTGAATTCAAGTCTCTTATCCTTCCCAAATTTTTTCTCGAGGCTAATGAAACCCAATACCAACAAAGGATCATGAAAACTATAATCTCATCTTCCGAATCCATAAGGTACCTATCATAACATAAATAAACAACTATATCATCTACATTAACATAGCATCCAAAACATAACATCCATAACATATTGTCCAAAACATAGCATCCAAAACATAACATTCATAACATATTGTCCAAAACATAACATCCAAAAACATAACATCCAAAACATAACATCCAAAACATAAAATCCAAAACATAACATCCATAACATAACACCTAACCAAAAAACAATCAAAGCACAATATTAGTTAAACAATCCATACTTCGCTCCCGCATTCTTAACCCATTTCTCACAATTTTGTGGCTTAAGACGCACCCACAGTTTCCGAAGATCGGCACTCTCACCAAAAAGCAAAAGCGCTGTTTCGTATTTCGCATCGGACTCATCCCAACCCAATGTCTCCAACTTCTCCAAGCATGCATCCATATCATCAGAAAGTGTGTGTTTCTCAATCATCATCTTTGCCAACTTGTTAATATCTTCACCAACTTCTATAAGCTTTGACTCTAATGTAGCCTTATGTTTTCGTTTCTCTCCTTTTTCTTTTTTTTGGGGTCGAATACTTGACTCCTGACTAACACCTTTACCTGGGGAATCCATTTGAGTGCATTCAACGTCCACAACATCCATATCATCCAACTTGTGCTCATACACTTCCTCAGAAGGATGAGGGAGCGTAGAACTTGGCCCCCAACTAGCAAACCCATTTGAAGTAGACCCCTCATACAATTGACAACAAAGCTCGGGGTAAGCAAGTGGCACACTTCTCAAAGCTTCTACATACTTGTTACACTGTGTGAAGAAAAATTTTAAAATACTATAAAATTAAATAAATATACCAAAAGTAATTATTAGCTTAAAAGAGATACCTTCATCTCAATTTGCC